AAGGGCGTTCTCAAGCACCTACCTCAATGGATTAAATAACGAATCTTATTGGCTAGTTTGATCAAACAGACCAATCAGATTTTTTGTTGAATTCATTGAGGTAGGTGCTTGAGAACGCCATAAGTAACTGACCTTCTACCTGATTTATACCCTGCGATCTTGATATAGTTAGCGTATCATTTCTACGTTCATTATATCCTAATTTGCTGAAGTGCATAAAATACATAAATAAGAATTACTTTTCAGTTTCGCGTTTATTTTGAATACAGCAATTTGATTGGTCGATCAGTAAATTTTGATAAATTAAAATAAAGCAATCACCATTTACACACCTCTTTTCGCTACCAAAACTGACTATTAAAAACACAAAGGGACAATAGTAAACGAAAGATCTGAATTGGGAGATTTAGAATTAATAACTTCGCACAATGATATTGTTATACCGACTGCATAGGATATTAAAGATAAATCGACATTTATTGATATAGATTCAAGTGGGCTAAAAGTGAGTTATACAGGTATGAAAATGAGGAATCTCGCAGAGGTATATTTAATGTGTTACTGTAATCATTGGCATTTAAAAGAATAACATTATAACTATTTAATTTATTAAAAATCTTTAATTAAAAATCCTGATGACTATAAAGCTGCTATCGTTCGGGCAAATCATCGGAGTGTGGGATATTTTACTTTGAAATTAAAATTATAAACAAAGGAACAAATGGGTAATATTAATAATTATTTCGTATCATCGACTTCGTTACTGCAATATTTTTTAATAATCCTTTAATTCTATTTATCGATAGAATCACTAACTAGTATAAGCAAAGCATTGCACAGGGACGCGAAGATGTAACATGTGATGAATGCGATATATTATTGGAGTCGGATATTGTACAAAGCAAAGCGGTAAAAAAATAGACGATTCAAATTATATAAATAACATGCTTATGCCTGGTAATAGCAAATTTGTATTTCATTTTCATATTGCACAAATTAGCTTATATAAATTCTTAGGACAGGAAAAAATGAATCATGGGGGTGTGGTTACCATGGTGATGATGGATATTCTTTTTGCTCAGGAAGTGGTAGGCTATGTGGATCATCATATACTACTGGTGATGTAGTTGGATGCTATCTAAATTTTAGAAATAAGATAGTCTTTTATACTAAAAATGGAATTAACCTGGGTAATCAACATTTTAGAAATCAGGTTTATATTTTATAAAGTAAATATATAAATTCAATAATTATAAAATGTTTTAAGGGATTGCGTGCCATCTACCTAATGATTTGGAAGGTGATCTATACCCTTGCGTTGGACTTAAATCGCAAGGCGGATCAGTAGAAGTGAACTTCGGAAACGAAAGATTTAAATATTCAGGTAAATGTATTCAAATGGTTTGATCGTTTTTTAGCTTGTTTAGAATTTAACCCTTTCGATATACACATATTTAACTGACAGCAATGACTAATGAAGACATCAGCATATTTTAATTGACTAATGAAGACATCGACGAACGCCAATGGTGTCCCATAGCAACACTACTAAAGGGTTCCACAGGGTTTCAAAAAAAAAACAAAAAAATTTATTCGTGATGGTTATAAATATCAAAACAATTCATTGATCTCTTATCAATGAAACTTCGATCAAGAAAAAACGAAGAATCAAACGAAATGGTAATTATATTTTCATTTAATAGACCCTTACCCTTTGTAAAGGATCTTTGCGTTGGCGTTACTTACACAGTTATTATACGTATTAGCCGAGAAAAGAAAAAGGAAAAGGTCCCGAAGAAACCGTGTTCGAAGAAACTGTGTTCGAAGAAACCGTGTTCGAAGAAACCGTGCCCGTGGATACTCCGGTGAGAACGAGAACGCCTGTAGATTAATCGCCTTTTTTTTTTTTTTTTTCCGTAAATTAATAATTTAGTTTAACCAAATTTACTATTCTAGTATACAGAATCGGACATTTCTATGTCCGACGTCGAATAGTCCCCCTCTATAAATGTTACCTTGACCTCTTCTGACGCTGCATTGAGGAATATCATAGCGCGATATGAATTCTCGGGTTTTTATTTATTTTATTTCTATTTCTTTATTTCTTTATTAACATAAATTGATAAATTAAGTTAATTTCACAAGCCGAGAGTACGTATAAAATTTAATATACTGTACTCAATTAATTAGCATTATTTGTACTAACTACGTTTTAAATTAATTTAGATCTTAATATAAAAATCGCCGACAAAGATAGTTCGATCGCCCAAAGAGAGCGTGATCGCCCAAAAAGATACTGAGATCGCCGACCTAAATAGACGGCTCAACGAAGCCGAAAGAATTATTCGAAATACAAGAGAGAGAGATTTTCAAGCCTAACGTATGTGAAAAGTTCGCTCGGTCGTTCAACATTAAATTTATGTTTACCATTAATTATCATAATAATGTATCTGTTATGTTTAATGTATCAATTTATTCAAATACTTTGATTCTTCGAATGAAATCATCTAATTGTAAACTTTCAGCTCCCAATAATTATCATTTACGAAATATTTACTATGATAACTTTGGTAATTGCCGTTTGAAAAAATCATTTATTCTACTTACATTCTAATTATTAATATAAACGTTGAGGTTTACCCATTGATGATTTAATGTACAAACTTTTAATATTTTGCCAATGCTTCTTGACCAAAAAATTAATGCTCATCATAATGTTGGCAAGCAATTCGTCTTCGGTCATCTGAACGTGGCCAACTGCTACGCCAAGACAAATAACTTTTTTAAGTTGGAATTGTCGAACGTAATTCCTCAGCTTTGGCATTTAAATCATCGTTATGATTAACCGGAGTCGGAAATTTACCGGCTGGTACAGACATGAATAAATTAAATATTAAAAACATGAATAAATTAAATATTATAAATAAATTTATTATCTTCAAAGAACGTTATAACATTATAAATACCCTTGTGTAATCCAGGGCCTAATAATCTTGGAATTTGTTTAATCAAAGCTTCACTCGCTAAAAATGCATCATATTTTTTAGCGAGTTTTTTGATAAACTTCTTGTTTTTATTAAGCTTCTTAAGATCATCAACACTTAAATATTCTAGTTGAATCTCTTTGGCACGATCACAATCATGAGCATCACTGAGAATAGCCACAGACATTTTGGGACGCGGGACATTGGGAAGTCTAGGATTCAAAATATAAACCTGTTAGAAATGTGAAACTGCGCTCATCTGAAAGATATCACAAATTGAAGCATTGAAGCAAATTTCGTATCGCAACTTAAATCTGTATGTGTAGATTACTCACTTAATAGTTCCACTAAAACGTTTATCTCTTTGTGGATCATAATTGTTCAATCCAATTTGCAATTCGACGGTTTCAGTAAATTTTCGATTTTTTTCTTTAGATTCCGCTAAAAGAGTTCTGATTGACTTTCTCACGGCTGACACTTGAATTTTACTTTAAAAAAAAAAAAAGAAAAAAACTATGATGTAAGCGTTATATTGATAAAAATTACATGCAAGTTCAAAAAATTTAGATACCTCATTATGAATAAAAAAAAAGATGAAGATTTTAGTAAAAAATAAAATAATGCATTAACATTAGAATATCAAGAAAAGGCTTATTTTATTATGGGCGGATACGAAAATATACTTGTTAATTTAACCGATGAATTAACAAAATCACTAGAAAAAGATCCAAGTAATGCATTGAATTAAGCTACCGAGGAGATATATATTTTATTATGGGCAAATATAACAAAGCATTTGAAGATTTAACCAAATTACTAGAAATTGAACCAGCTAATGCAATAGCATTAAGATATCGAGGAGAAATTAATTATATGATGAAAAGGTATTCTGAGTCAATTGCTGACTTGAAGAGATTATTAGAAATTGAGCCAAATGATATATGGGCAAAGAAAGCTTATGAATTAGTTAAGGGGTTGTAAGTACAATATGCATTTTTAATTTTAGCAGCTTAAAAAAGTTTACTTATATAACCATAGCTCGTAAGTACAGTAATCGAGCTTTTTTACAATATAAATCACGATAAATTCATTACATGACCCTATATAAATCATTTATGTCACTATAGCGAGTAAGTACAGTACCGACCTTTTTTACAAAACACTATAAAAAACGCGATAAGTTCATGACAAAACTAACATAATCTAAAACATTACAGCAAATCACTATACAAATCACGAGAAATCCATTACGCAATCACAATAGTCTGTAAGTACAGTAACCGAACTTTTTACAGCAAATCACTATACAAATGATGATAAGTCCATTACAAAACTAACATAGTCTTATCTAAATCATTATGTCACCATAGCTCGTAAGTACAGTAACCGAACTTTTTACAGCGAATCATTATTAGAATGGCCGCCATATCACGTAGTCCGGGATCATCAAATGTTAACGATTTGATTGGTTAATAATCATTACGTAATCTACCCGCTTTAAGGGGACGGAATTGTATCAAAACAATCAAAACACAAATCGACCAATAAGATCTAAGATAGACAAAATACTATATATACCTCAAAATTTCCACATCTTTTACTCAACAATACTTTCTTTTTTCGCCTATTATTTGTTCGTCGTGCCATCCACTTTCACATAGGTTTGGAGAAGTTAGATCATTTCGGTAGTTCCGGTCTAACCGGGTGAATTATTGATTGGTCGTCCTATGTGATTGCACTTACAACTTCTCGTTTGTTTAGTGTCCTCTTTCGCTTTACAAACTATCCTTAAAGATCGTTTTCTCTATACTCGTTTTGAAGTTTTTTAAACTTTGCGCTTGAATTAGGTTCGTCAAATGAGCGATGTACACCTTCTAACACAGATAGAGCCACTGACAGTAGTTTAAACTAAGCTTAAAGCTTCCCTATTGTTATGCACAAATTTTCTTGAGGAAGTTCTTGTGAAGCGAAAGTGACGAATCTCGCAAAGTTTTCCTTTTTGTTATTTAATTTTTTTTTTCTTTTTATTTAGTTGTTTAGGCAAGTTGTTTTTTTATTATTTATATATTTTTCGCGTCTATTTTTTTTTTTTTGTTATCTAATTTTAATTTTATTTGCTTTAAAGTTCGTCGCTATTGGTGTATTTCGTTCGTCGTTTTCGCGTCGCCGTCGGTGTATTTCTTCGTCGTTGGTGTATTTTCGTTCGTCGTTTCTCGTGGTAGAAAAGCAATGTGAAAATTGTGATATAGTCTGAATCGATTTTAAGAGATAATGATGGCGCATTTCACACTTAGTAGCAGTGAAAAGTTTGTGATAGTCTGAATCGTTTTAAAAGATAATGATAACATTGATATAGTCTGAATCGTTTTAAGAGATAATGATGATATCTATGTTAGTTTGAATCGTTTTAAGAGATAATGGCAAATTTCAAACTTAGTAGCAGCGAAAAGTTTGTGGATACAGTCTGAATCGATTTTAAGAGATAATGATGGGCGCATTTCACATTTAGCAGAGTTGGTGTTCTTTTCACGAGAGACGTACGTACCTGTTTACCATTGATTCGCTATCAGTAAAAATGCGAATCACTTTACCGATGACTTGGTACTCCATCGGTATCGTAGTTTATCATTTCGAGATTTTTTTTTAAAAAAATCGGGAAATAAATGAATTGAAAACTAGCCGAATATACATGTTTTAGATTCTTTAGCACTTTCTTTGTAGATTTAGAATTTTTTTTTTTTTAAATTCATAATTTTAAACTCCTTTGGGTCACATGATGCAAACCTCCTCGTGGTGTGATCTGGACGTCGAGCAATTTGTTTGATGACTAATATGCATCACAATCACTAACAATATAAACTTATGGATTTGCTTGTAATTTTTTTTTTTTATTGCATAAACTTAAGAAATTCTTTTATTGTAACAATAATTAAAAATAATAAAGATGAAAGATATACTTTAATTTAGTTGGGCAAAAAAAATGATATAAATTTTTATACATATGATTTTAATCAAGATTCGATTGACTTTTTGAATTCTATACTGTAATGTGTGTAAAGTAAATTGTCGGATATAATAATGTGACTGTATTGCATTAATATTTGCAATATATATATTTTATAAATGGGATTAAGTTTTGCCGAAAGGTATAATCCCATTAGATGGAGACACTATGCAAGCCATTTTCCAAAATCTTTGTAACCTAATAAAATACCTTTTTCAATTTTGGGATAGTAAAAGTTTAAGCGATAAATCTGTTATTATACCTTATTTTAGAATCTATATAGATTTTTTTTAACGGACAAAAACAGATCGAGATTGATGTCCAAAATTGTGAAGATAGCGTTAATGATATCGTTTTAAGAAAGACTTTATTCAGATTACCGGTATATAGAAACACAATAGCATTATTTGCAAAAAAAAAAAAAACATAAACAAGTTAACATTTCAGTAATTTATTTAAATGCTTTGTAATTTATTGCGATTACAGTAATTAACTAATGTATACTTAATTTAATTAAATTAATTAATGTATACTTAATTTAATTAAATTAATTAATGTATACTTAATTTAATGAAATTAAAGAAATAATAACAATTATGTGCAGTATATTTAGAAAAAGTTTTTTTTTTTTAAATTGCAATGTTAGCGATGCATTACTATACATTACATATGCTACGTACAAAAAGAATAAAAGGATCATTCTCTATTTATCTAAAAAACCCAAAATATTATTACAGTCAGACCTCTCTAAATGCATAGCCGAGGGGCGGCCAAAAAATCTTGCATTTAGAGAGGTAAAAATCTACAAGTGTGTTATATAAGTTGGGTTAAATATGGCCATGCATTTATGGAATATGCGTTTAAGGAGGGAAGTCTGACTGTATGTATATCGATTTATATATTATTTGATCAACATGCGTATGAGTTACGAGTTTGAGTTTGTGCTTACTCTTTGCTCCTATTTCTGTATTTGGAAATGCGATTTGCTCTTTCACAACTTTTTTGTAATACGTCTGAAAAAATGGTCCTTTTACAAAAGATACAAATTTTTAGATTTTGTGTTTAAAATGATCATCTTTTCGCATTAAAAAATTGTGAAATTGATTGTGTATCTTTCACGAAGGGAGATGCATTGAACAAATTATGTACCTTTCATGTAAGGATTATCAAAATTATCATTTAAAAAAAAATAAAATTGCATACACAAAAAAGAAATCTATCTTGATAATAAGAAAAATATATTACATAGTAAAGACAATTACACAAAAAAGATAGATACCTTTCGTGCCAATTCCTAAAAGGTGACTTAAAGCTGAACTCCGCTTGGACGATCTCACCTAAAAAATACAATATATACTGTATAATAATTGTGTTTTTTTTATTGAAACAAGTAAAGTGATGCGAACTAATAGGGCATCACCGTGTCATAGTGAGATTAAATAAAAAAAATTAATTGTACGTAATATGGGGTGTCGTTGATTATTGTAATTATCTTTGTTAATGCCCAACATAATTTATTATACTAAGTTGTCACAAATAACATGTTATCACTATGACGACGATACGTTTTGATTGACGACGCCCTAACTATCATAGCCAAGTTTATAAAATAAGATTTTTATTATAATATCTAAATTTTTCTCGATCCTTCCTTCCTGTTTACGTTTTTGAGTATTTAATCATTACTGTATTACAGTATTACATTACCGGTAATATCCAGATCACTAACGGTATTAATCAAATACTCTGATCCGTATAATTGTATATAAGCGGAAATTTCGTTTTCGCCATTACCCAACGGCTCAGAATATTTTTTATTACATCAAATTAAATCCCGAATATATAAAAAATTAATGTGAATAATGCTAATAATGTGATTAAAAGAATATTAATCGATATGAATGAAATTGGCATTTATTATTCAATAACAAATAATTACACATATAAATAAATATTATTTATGCGAATGGATAATCAATATATATGCTTTTTTATATTTCAGCCAAATAATTTTTCAGTCATGTAACAACGTTGTCAGGTGGTTATTAATTGTATGTACGTACGTAGTACGTACCGTAATTTATTGCATAGTCAAACGCATCTGTAATTAAAAGCGAAAAGTTTACAAGACTGTATATTGTACCGAGTGAGTTAAAAGTCACAGGACATCCTGTTTATTATCTATATATTTATTTATTTATTATTTAAGGCATTACAAAAAACTATTAAATAATAAACAATTCATTCCATGAAAAGACTAATAAAAATTTTAAAACTAGAAAAAAAGGCACATTACCGTTAAGAAAATCAAAATTTACGTTCAAGTTGACTATTCTGTTTTAGGTTACCCTCAAATCAATACCACTATAAATAATGTAAAATTAATTTGATTTAAACTGTCAATTATACGAATGTCTGCCTATGAACTAACTATATCCGGTAAACACATGGACTCCAGAGAATTTCTTACGCACCTAGTTTCAAATGCACCCTAAATTCAATAATCATATATATACTGTGTAAACTTTTACAATTGAATTTTTTTTTTTTTTTTATACAGTTAAATTAGGAGATTAAAAATTACTTTAATGGCTTAGCTCACATAATTATCCGACAGTCACATAATTATCCGACAGTCACATAAAAGCAGGTCGACTTTTAATGAAATCACAAGATTGTTCACGAGTATAACATTTTTCGCATTATTACCGTTACATATATGGAGAAACTATAATTTGAATAAACCGAATTTATTTGGAGTAGATGTCGTCCATAACGATAATTATTATTTTATAAGTTATAGATCACTTTTTATATTGAATGTATGTATATTAGTAAATATATAACAATAATTATTGCTATGAATGGGGTCCCAATATTTTATACCATTTTTTTATATTTTATACCATTTTTTTATATTTTATACATTTTTTTATATTTTATAACATTTTTTTATATTATAACATTTTTTATATTATATAACATTTTTTATATTATATAACATTTTTTATATTTTATAACATTTTTTATATTTTATAACGTTTTTTTTATATTGAATGTAAACGCATTCAATTTATTCAAACTATGTGTGTAAATATGTGTGTAAATTAATAAATATATGATGACAACGATAAATTTTATAAAATCCCCACTTTCTCACTTTTTCTTCCTAAAGGCGAAGACCTTTATGAAAATTTTAACAATTATCAATATGAATCAACCTCAGCCTTTAATACCTCAAACTGCTAATATCCCTCTAAATTCATCTTTTGATAATCTTACTGCTAAACAAAAATATGAAATTTTAACTAAAGGTACTATTGACTTGTTCGGTAGTGCACAAGAAATAGAGAACCAGACAGCTCCTCAATTTCCGACTGATATTCTTTCTGGTTCATCTTTTCATTAAGCAAAAATTATGGATTCCTTTTTCCAAAGAACTTTTAAAAAAATGTTTTATGCATTTTATTTTTATATATGCGGCGGATCATGACCTCTTTTATCATTAATTTATTGGATCATTTGCATTTTGATGATTTTCCATTACTTCATTATCTATCAACACTTGCTCAATCGACATTTCTTTTTCTGTTGATACTCTTCCTCCTCCATAACCTTGCCGCAAAACTATGGACTATTGCTGTATCGTTGGGTTTTGGGGATAATTAAGATTTATAAATCACTCTATTTTTATTTTTATATTATCAACAAGATCAATGAAAAAAAATTCTTTGGCTTTTTTTTTCTTCGTGTTCCTTTCAAGGAAATTGACTTTCCCTATGCGTGCAAAAATAGGGCATATATATATATATATTTTTTAAAAATATGATAAATAAGATAATCGCGTATGCTGCTAAATCGAAATGTAGTGCTGTTATAGGAGGTGGTTTGCTTGGTCTAGAAGCTGCCAAGGCTTTGAAGGATTTGAATTTAGATGTGACGATGATTGAAATGGCACCAGTCTACAAAAAAGTCTCCTCATAATTTCCATTCTCATTTTTCTTCTAGGCGAATGTACATATTACTATAACAAAAAAAATAAAAGAATCCTTTTTTCATTTATCTAAAAAATAACAAATATACAGTATATCAATATATATCGGATATCAGTCACACGATTTGTCACGCAGATCACGGGGGTAAATTTTTTACTATGAAATTTGAGTGATCGACATGCATATGATGGGCTCAATTTTCATAGTAAATTGCA